CAGTCTAATCGATAGTGTATAAATCTGTCAGAGTATAAAGTACCTTTCGGGGACATTCTTTAGTGGATTTCGAAATAATAGTAATTTTAAATACTAAGTAATGGATTTTCCTAAACCTATTGCTTCATTCGATAAACTGAGTATAATATCTTATAATATTGTTGAGTGACACGATCATAATAGGAAATTGAATTGCTGGTTAATATCAAGTTCAGTCAATCAATCAACAGCAACTTAGAACTTCGTGCGTACATACATCAGTCAAGTTGCCATACCACATTAGCACAGACATGCAATTGTCAATTCAAATCCCATAGTAGTAGAGGTAGTGGACGTATTAGTATAGTAATTGGAGAGTTAGGTGTCTAAGAAGTATCGAGGCTAAATATTTAGAAACTATATTATTTAGACTGATTCCCATGCGACTGTCACAAGAGGACTTTTGTCCTTTCTTATGAATTGGGACAATCAGGGATTCAGATCAGTTGAGTGGGATTACGTCCAGTTCCCGAATTCTACCTAAGATCTTAGTCAATCTAACCACTAAAACTGGTCCACTATCCTCAAAAATCTCAGGGGTCAATAAATCACGACCCGCTGCTCTCCCTTTCTTTAGATTTCCCGTAGCTTTCTCAACTTCATGAACAGTCAGAGGACTTAAGTCGATTTACCACTCAGGATGACTGGAGATCGTGGACAGCCGAAATGTGGCTGAAGGACTGTTGAACTAATCCCTGAAGTGTTCTGTTCATCGATCCGATCTGGATTGAAAATGAATAATAAGACTATCCTTTTCCGAAATAGTCTCGCTTACAGTCGGGTTCCTACTGCTGCCTATAGCCACTGCCTTCTCCATCTCCCTTGCTTTCGCTACCTACCACTGTTATCGATCACTGCGTAGGCTTCTTATCAGTCTGCGCCTAAGCCGACTCCGCTCCTCAGAGCCACGCGGGATGAGTTTTTGAGCATCCATCAGTTCAGTAGATGGCTGACAGCTATGTGGTCTAATTGGGTCCAGCGTTCGGTCACCACGTCAAAAGATGTTCTTCCTTATGCTTAAAGTTATTATTTGCTAGAAACAGGCGGTTATCTGAGCATATCTGCAGCAGACGGTCGCAATTATCTGTTTGATCAGCCACGTCACCTAAGATCTACCCAGGAATCATTCCTTCACACTTAATCTACCTACTTTAGCATTAAAGTCACCAGCCATTATTACTATATCAGAGCGCTTAACTTTTTAAAGCAGGTTAAAAAGGTTTCACTAAAACTAATCTCTTAGGGCGGCGCTCAAGTGACTGTCTGCCGGGATCCAGTCTAAGAGAGCTAGTTCTGCCCTAGGAAATAATATACCTACACCAGCTAGGCCACGGGAAGCAGCAGGGCTCCTAGGTACACATAGAGTAAACCAAGTTGATTCTCTATCTGGACAAGGTGAAATCAAACTGATAATTTTACTCGGATCTTGTATGCACGTTTCGATATGATATGTATTAGCCCTTTGCTGCATTTACAGATGGTCATCGATCGGCCACTTCTGGTGTGCTCATCAACCAAGAACTAATGAGCAACAACTGAGAGACTGCTGATTTGAATACCACTTAGTCTGCTCTCGATTTTCACTTAGTGCTTGTGTTATTCAAATAGTGTTATAACATATTCCTTATTGCTGTTCAAACCCCTTAATTTGAAGTATGACTGGTTATTTTAAACATACCAAGTAGAAAACTAGCACCAACAATCTTAGCTTAAACTTCACGTTCATCTAAACATTTCCTTCCCACCCAAGGAAGAACTATTGTACATTCTCCGAAACTATGAATCATAAGGAAACTAATATAGTCTGAAGTGGCATTTTCTACACAATCTCCTTACGGAATTCTCCAGCAAACAATATAGATTAATTGTTAGGATATTCATCCAATATCCTAAGATAATTGCTTGTAAGTTTAATTCTATTAGTCAATTCCTACTGGTCAGTATTATCGTCGTCCTAGCTATCAATGTCACACACTTCAATGTTGTTTCCTTTTCGACCTAACTGTATAAATACGCATTATCTGTAACATTTTATGACCCGGATCCCTAGTCCGGGATCTAGGTTCTCTTCTGGACTCGGACCTCGTACTTTCTGTATGCTTGTAGAATACATATTCTACTTCATATCAAGTCTCCTTTTATTCAATGGGGGTTTGGATTAGAGTAGCATGTCGTGCCACCGGATCATCGACCCTCGCTCTTGTTTTCCGACTAAGGTAAACTCGTAATAGTTCAAGTATATCAAATTACATGTTTATGTGCATGCGTAACATTAATGACTAGTGTTCACTAACCTCCTCATTATTTTTAGTTCAATAAAGTTATGTGATAACATATTTGTTACGTTGGCAAAATGATTGTAACTTTCGAACAACTCTAACCTTGTGTAGTGTTTAGCTAGTTGAATATTTACTTATACGCAATAAATTTATCATAAAATGCTTAGATATGGTATTAGGGATCAAAGTGATGGGATCTGTTAAAAATTCAGAAAACCAATATAAAATACAACTCTGCACAAATTGTTAAATAGTAAATGAGTGTTTATTAAGGATATATATGGTCAATAATAAATGGCAAATTAAAACAAATTCATGGTGTTCATGATATTGCTTATGAATTTTGTAAAAAGTAGCTGGTAAATTCTAATCAGTTCGTTTAGAACCATACTTTCATTTGAGCTGGAGTGTTCGAGTCTAAAATGTAGAAAAAAATCAAACAATGGTTGTTCATTATTCTTTTTTTTGTCATAATTTGAACTGGGAGCTAAAGTATCAAATGGTGAGCAGTGTTGTCTTTAATACTGGATCAAGTCTTCCCTTTTGTTGTGATGGTTAACAGTTATCCTTATTTTTTGGTATAAAAACTACACCTTAATACACACCACTCACGTATTAGGTGAATATAAAAATGAACTGAAATTCGTGGATACATTACAGTGAACATTGAAAATGTTACGTACAACCTCAGTTAGATTTCTCACGGAAAATAATTTGAATACAAAATGGTTTAATAATAATGTTAACCAATTTTTAAGCCACGTCACCCAAAAACTTAAAAGGCGAAATACAATGATCACTCGGATCAAAGCCAAATGAACTTAATCTCAAAATACAGTATTGATCAACCTGATCAGCAAGAAAAGAATTTGACGGTTCAATGTGTGTCACTGACACACTAAAAATAATATTGTAAGTTTAAGTTCTATTGGTCAATATTATGGTCGTCCTAACTATCAATGTCACGTACTTCAGGACTCGGACCTCGTACTTTCTGGATGCTTATGGAATACATGTTCTACTCAATGGGGGGGGGTGTTGGGACAATCGGTTCAGAGTAGCATGTCATGACGCCGTATCCTGGATCCTCGCTCTTGTTTGCCGAATAAGATAAACTCGTAATAATTCAAACATAGCAAAGTGACATGTTTACGTGCAATCGTTACAGTTCTTCCTGAGCGTTTGGCTAAAATCTCTGAATAGGAAGAACGAATACATAGATTAGCCTCCAGATGTTAGGTTTCTTTCCAACTGTCGCTATCACCTTACAAAATAGGATACATCCTAAAATAACGTGTACAATTCACTTTCTTAACTTTATACAAATTCAGCATTTTCCACGCAACAATTTCTCACGTTAGTTTTTTTTTGGAACAATGTAAAAGGATTCAATTATCCCATCGGTTTACTAGAATTCTAGTCTCTTTTGTTTTTACTCTATCCTTAAGCGCATTGTAAATATATCTATTCATGTGTGAGAGAGTTGTAAACTAGATAATTTGTTAGTGGAATATAACTGGATAAAGCTTAGTTAATGGAGAGGAAGGAATAATATTCGGGAATCGAATTGTTAAATATGATCGAATGCAAAGTTGGCTTAATTAGATCAATGATTATATTTCAACTTGGTTGATCGTTTGATCAACCTTCTACTCTATATCAGCTCCTCTCTTCGTTCTCACATCCTCAATGGTCCTTCTGAACTTTTTGTTGATACAGATATGGTCAATTTGGTTTTGAGTAGTGTGGTCCGGTGAAATCCATGTGGGTTCGTGTATGCGATTGTGCGGGAATATTGTGCCACCGATGACCAGTTTGTTGAAGGCACATAGGTTTGCAAATCTCTCACCGTTTTCGTTCCTTTCTCCCATTCCATGTCGTCCCATGATGTCTTCATATCCAGTGTTGTCCATTCCAACCTTGGCATTCAGGTCTCCCATAAGAATCGTCAAATCCTTTGGTGAGCATCTGTCGACGATTGACTGCAGCCTTTCGTAGAATTGATCTTTAACGTCGTCATTGTAGTCATTGGTAGGTGCATAGCATTGGTTGAAGTTCATTGTAATGTCCTCCTTCATTGTTTTGAAGGATGCTTTGATGATCCTCGGTCCATGAGATTCCCATCCTATCAGTGCCTTTTGTGCATGTTTTGATAGCATCAGTGCAACTTCTTGTGTATGTGAAGCATTTTCCTCTTCATGACCAAAGTACAACAGCAGTTTCCCTGAAGCTAGTCTCAGTTGTCCTACCTGTGTCCAATGCGTTTCACTGATGCCGAGCACCTCGAGGTTGTATCTTTCATTTGTGCAGCAATTTGACATAGTCTTCCAGTCTCCCACAATGTACGAACGTTCCATGTACCTAAAAAAAATGGTTGCTTTGGTTGTCAGAAGAGGCATCGGCCCCGTGACTTCCGAGGGAACTCGGCTTTCATCACACGACGTCACAATTCTTCTTCCAACTCCCAGGGCAGAGTTAAAATGGTTTGAATTATTTTTTCTGGTTAGCGTTTTTTTGGCAAGTTAGTTTTGGACGGAATGGGGTCGCCAACCCCATGTCCAACCCTCCTCCTTTATCCGGGCTTGTGACCGGCAGTAGCCCCTAAGGTTCTACTGGCGGAGTTGTGATCAATTATCACACTAAATAAAAATTATGCATTTGCAAAACAGATAAACATTTTATTAAAAGCGAAATTATTAATTAGTAAATCTATAAATCATATTTACCACATCTTTTACTATTGCACCCAATTGTATTCTATGCTCTTGTTTTGCTATTTCAATTTGTTCTAAACTTGCCAATAATTCATCAATACGTGTAATAATAGAAATTAATGTAGCTTCCATTAGATCAACATTTTGAACTAATTCATAGTAATCTTCTGAATCAATATACTATAAAATAGATTTATTCATTAATTCAACAAAAGCTTATAGATAAGATATATGGACATAATTACAATGTATCAACATCTAAGAACATTGATAAGCTAAATTCATTGAATGTTTCGTTTTAACTCTAAGGATTTATTTCGTTTGAAAGTAATGGTTGTCATTTTTCATATTAATTTCACTAATTTGGAAAGTTGAATTGATACACAATTAGTATTGTCCTTTGTGGTATTGATATCTATTGTATTTCTTGTTGAGAGTTGTATATTATTAAATAAATATTGTGTACACATTTGAAATCATCAATCAATCATTGTTAGACCATCATTTGAAAGCTTTAGGCATTGGACGGCCGTTTCGTCATGGTATGAGACTCATCAGCAATGCTCATCCCATACCAGAACGAAACGGCCGTCTTTCAGTGGTTGTAGGTATAGTCACCGATGGTTAGAGACCTTAAACGAAATGGGTCAGAATCGTTTGCAATGGCGCAGGTGCATCCACTCTTTATGTTCTATGAAATTCTAAGCTTCTGCATTCCTCATAATCTCTACTTTTTTCCTTCTAAATTTATCTTACTGAATTATACTTCTCGAATCATATCCTCGCTCCCTAATCTTCTCCATTACCGCTAATCCTTCTATTATTGCTATCACTCTTGGAATTGAACTGATAGTTGCGTCTCTGTGCTGATGGGGTATGGCAACCTGAACTGATGTATTTACGTACGAAGTTCTGCGTTGTATCTGTCTGTCTGTTTGTCTGTCTACACAAGAGAGTTTGACTCATTATTTTGCCAAAAACAAAAAAAGATTTGGACCACATCTCTTCTCAGCTTTCATCGATTACATAAAGCTGAAATTAATTATTAGTTTGTTTGTTTTTTTGTCATCAACTTACATTCTCTTCATCTCGAACAGATTTTTCATCATCTGTTCCAATGCCTTCGTCAATCGGTTCTCCAGTTCTATAGATTACCTTGATTTTTAGAAAAAAAAACGAACGATGAGATTCATATGAAATCAGCATTCAATAGTAATAATAAGAAACAATTGAGAATACAATGAATTGAAGTTATAATCGGCTAGCATTTCTTTAATGTTTTGGTAATAATAATAATGCATATTCATTGTAAAATTTTTCTTTTCATGTTCTAAAGTATTCTATAGAGCTATTTTTTTAGTCTGAATATAGTTTCACCCAAATATCAACATCATTTAGGGAATATAACTAAAAACTGGCAAGCACTGTAAGGTTGTTTTGTCATAATTTGAAACTTCACTTGAAGTAAGCATTCAAGACACAGACGGTATATAACTTAGGAACTTCAGATTTCGAAGTGATTTAATGTGAACCTTAGTGTTATGCCTGCACGTAAACACGTCAACTTGATATACTTGAACTATTACGAGTATACCTGAGTTGGAATACGAGAGCGAGAATCGAGGATCCGGTGACATGACATGCTACTCTAATCCGATTATCACAACCCCCATATTGAGTGAAAATAAGACAAGACTTGATATGAAGTAGAACGTGTATTCCACAAGCATCCAGATATTACGAGGTCCCCGGACTAGGGATACGGATCATAAAACGTTACAGATAATACGTATTTATACATTTTGGTCGAATAGGAAACAGCATTGAAGTCTGTGACATTGACAGTTAAGACGACCAATAGGAAACAACATTTGAAGTGACAGCGATAGTCAGCAACAAAAAACAACACTGGAGCACGTGACATTGATATCTAGGACTACCATAAAATTGACCAGTAGAAATTAACCAATAGGAATTGACCAATAATTCTCTTAGGATATTGGATGAATATCCTAACACTTAGACTAGAGGATCGTCTCACTCCTTAACACAGTTAACCTAACCTGTCACCTTCCAAGTAAAACTATTGGAAGAGCACTTCGAAATCTGTATGTAACTAAAGATGAAAATCGTTAGACTTAGATTTCAATTGAGTAGTTTAATATTATTTGTCTTTATCACGATAACTAAAGGTCATGAGCTCAATCTTGTAGAAGGCTGTCGGTAAGTATCGTTGAACATATTCACTTTTGGATGCATTATACCTATCCATTACTTCCTCGTTTTCAGCGGTTTGCGAGACAGTTAATCGACTAATTTATAATTCAGAACAGTGTACCAGAATAGCGTTTAATGTAATTCACTAATAGTAAGATGGTTGTTGGTTTAAAGTCATACCTAGTAAATAATACTGCTTTTACAGACTTGAAGAACTCAAATATTAATATGAATGCACTTCTTACACAATCAGTTAATATCGCTCATCAAGGAGTAATTAGAATTTATGTGATATATTTATAGAAAATTTAATGACGATTCAGATTAAATATGGGAAATCCTTAGAAAACCAAGAACCAATTAGATGTTGAATGAAGACTTTGAACTACCTACTACTCAGGAAACCGCTTCCACGAGTGCCTATCGAATTTGTATTATAATTTTAGAGTACATGTTCGTCACATTTAATTCTTTTTTCATTCTAGTTCAATTACTAATCTACTAAGTAGCAGGAAAGCACTTTAATGCTCACTTACTTACGCCTGTTACCTCCAATGGAGCAAGCATAGGCCACCCACCAGTTTTCTCCAGCACCCTCTTTCCTGGACTACCCTTTCCAGTTCTGTCCAATGTTTGTTCATTCCTCTCATATCTTTCTCTATTTCTCAGCGTAATGTGGTCCTTGGCCTTCCTCTTTTCCTTTGACCTTGGGGGTTCCACGTGAGGGCTTGTCTTGTGATACAGTTGGCTGCTTTTCGCAATGTGTGTCCTATCCGCTTCCACCGCTTCTTCCTGATTTCCTTCTCCACTGCAATCTGGTTTGTTTTCTCCCACAGTTCGTTGTTGCTGATGGTGTCTGGCCAACGAATCCGAAGTATTTTGCGCAGACAACTGTTCATAAACACTTGTATCTTCTGGATGATGCCTTTTGTAGTTCTCCAAGTTTCCGCTTCATACAGTAGAACTGTCTTGACATTTGTATTGAAAATCCTAATTTTGGTTTTAGTTGAAAGTTGTTTGGAGTTCCAGATATTTTTTAACTGTAGAAATGCAGCCCTTGATTTGCCAATCCACGCCTCCATATCTGCATCAGATCCCCCTTGCTCGTCAATGATGCCGCCCAGATAGGTAAAGAATTTTACGTCCTCTAAGGCATCTCCATCAAGAGTGATTTGGTTGGTACACGGTTTGTTGAATCGAAGAATCTTGCTTTTCCTTTTATGTATGTTGAGACCTATTGCTGCTGAGGCTTCTGATACACTGGTCGTCTTTTATTTCATATGTTATTGCGTGTGCGGTGGAAGAGCCAGATCATCTGTGAAGTCCAGATTGTCCAGCTGCATCCTGGCTGTCCGTTGGATACTGTGCTTTGCTCCAGATGCTGACATCTTCATAATGCAGTCGATCACCAGGGGAAACAGAAAGGGTGAGAGTAAGCAACATTGCATGACACTGGTCTTCACCTCGAACAATTCTGTCAGCTGTCTTCCGTGCACTTATGCTTATTTCAATATGTTTAAAATATTTCACTATATAATGTAACATCTCTTTGAATATTTAATCTATAGACAATAACTAATATAAAGTAATTAATTGTAATTAATAATTGCTTGTCATACTTACACCCATTTCAATTTCATATGCTAATTGTTGTTGTTCTACTAGATCTAAATAATTATCACCATCTTCATCGTATTTGATAAAAGTTGTCGAAATTTCTGGTTCACTATATCCATGACTTTATTTTGTGATTTAATTGTATGACAATGAAAAAAGAAATAAGTAAAAGTATAATATTTAAATTGAATACTGTTTAAAAATTTGGCTGTCATGTTAGAACAATGATAATTTTTGGGAAACGGTTTTAAAACTATACTTGATAGTAAGGAGAGATGGATAGTAGTTAGCAATGCTATTCAGGACGTAGGTTTCGTCTAATTTGGGACTTGTCAGCTGGATGTGTGTTCACTTCAAACGCCATTATGTTATTCAATTATAAACTGAATGCAGATAGCCATTGGTTTAATCAGATAGGTTCAGTTGACTGGTTCCAAATAGGACTGTTACG